ATTTTCAAAGCAAGATTAATTTCTCTGTATTAAATCTCGTTACTTCATACTTTAGAATGAACTAAATGACTATAAAAAAGTGAAGTTAAAAACATAAACATCTAATAAACATGACAGTTTTTGGGGGGTGGGGATGGAGACCAGGCTGCCGCCCAGGCTGGAATGCAATGGTGCAATTTCAGCTCACTGCAACCTCTATTACTCAGGTTCAAGCTCTTCTCCTGCCTGAGCCTCCCAAGGAGCTGGAATTATAGGTGTCCACAACACACCCAGCTAATTTTCACATTTTTAATAGAGATGGGGTTTTACCATGTTGGCCAGGTTAGTCTCAAACTCCTGACCTCAGGTGATCCACCTCAGCCTCCCAAAGTGCTGGGATTACAGGCATGAGCCACCACGCCCAGTCAACATGACAGTTTTTTAAATAAACTTTTTTTTTTTTTTTTTTTTTTTTAAGACAGTCTTGCTGCGCTGCCCAGGCTGGAACGCAGTCGCACAATCCTGTCTCACTGCAACCTCTGCCTCCAGGGTTCAAGCGATTCTCCCACCTCAGCCTCCTGAGTAATGGGAACTACAGAAATGTGACACCACATCCGGCTAATTTTTGTATTTTTAGTAGAGATGAGGTTTTGCCATGTTGGCCAGGCTGGTCTGTTAACTCCTGACTTCAGGTGATCCACCCACCTTGGCCTCCCAAAGTACTGAGATTACAGGCGCGAGCCAGCACAACTGGCCTAAAAATAGTAAAATTTGTTTTTAACAGACCAGGTCTCAGTATCAGAGCACAGTGGCTCCATCATAGCTTCCTGCATCCCTGGGCTCAACAGATTCTCCTGCCTCTGCTTCCTGAGTAGGTAAAACTACAGGCACACCCCACTCCACAAAACGTTCAGCTAATTTTTTTTTTAAGGGACAGGGGACTTATTATGTTGCCTAGTGGGTCTAGAAATCCTGGCCTAAAATGATCCTCACACCTCCGACTTCTGATAGTGATTACAGGCACAAGCCACTACGTTTTTTAATTACCTTTAAATGCTTAATCCAACATCTCCCTTTTTTTCATTTCATTACAAGGAACCAATGACATCTTGTATGTTTACGTTTTAAGTAAGCTCTCAATCAGCTTTGTAAGGTAAACTCCCATTTACCTAGAGGTTAAGGAATAAGTATTTTCCTTAACCTAAAGGTTAAGGTTCTGGTTAACTGAGATTACTACATATTCACAATTCTATAAAATCGTCTATTGGAAATCAATTTAGGTATCAATGCTCAAGTCAAAAAATAATTTTTCCCTTGGTGAATTTTTAGAATTTTCCAATGTTTTAAAATCATGTTACTTTTCAAAAGTTTAAGGAAAAATCTGTAGGAGATTCATTCCATGACATTGTCTGTTGGTTGCTTTTTAAGTATATTTTCCTCACGGCTTCATCCACCTTTCTCGTAAGACTAAATGGGGAGACAGACTTCCCGGCTTCGTGGGCTCTGTAGTAGTCTGAAGTCTAGATAAGCAGGAGTTTACAGTGCACGACCCAATACTTAAACACCTTGATTATTGGCCAAACACCACCAGTAAATAGGAGTCTTCCCTCCCCACCCCCAAACAGTCTTAAATACCTAGCTCCAATGTACAATAAAATACTCCAGAAACTAAAACATGCTTACCTTTACTCCACAGGAGTAAATCACTGGCAGTATCAACTATTAGGGCACTGGATAAATACACACAAGCTATGAAAGCAGGCTATGTAGTCAATCTTCCTGTGGTGAACATTGTTTCCAACACACAGATCAGCAAACCAAATAACAAACACGTTGTATTACCTGAAACCACACTGTTGAAAATGAAGCAACAGAAAGAGATCCCAGGCTTTCAGCATCCAGTTCAGTGCCCCTATCTACTAAAACGTTGAAGCAGAACTGAAGTCAAATCAAGCTTGGACTAACATAAGTTATGTTTCACTCCATTTGTAAATGTGCACACACTTGAAGTGCACAGCTTCAAGTGGAATGGGAAAAAAGTTATTACTCTATTCCTTTTTAAATGCTTTCAAGCATGGTACGTATTATCACTCAAAGGCTAAAACTAGTCACATCCTTCATGTAGGCCATAAATCACACACCGAATCGTAGCCTCAAATGGTTCTTGTATTAGAGCAGACTTACCCTAATATTATGTTTTATGACAGATGGCAGAGTACCCAGGAATATTAAAAAGATACACTGAGTTTCTGGAAGGGGTCACATGGAAAAACCCCAGATTTAAAGCAAAGTATGTGTATCTCAAAAACAAGCACTGAAAAACTTCGATGACAGAGTTCTCCAATTCCAAACTTACAAGTTATCAGATTTTTAGTATCTTTCATAATAAATAAAAATTTACAATGAAAAGTATTTAATATTCCTCCCTTAAATGTTCATCTCAAGATCTGGGGGCATCAATTTCTGGTATTTTTAACTCAGGAAATTTGTCAAAGGCTTCCAAGAATGCTAACACTGAGTGAGACCAATCTACTCAGGGTCTCAACTTCACTACATACAGTAAACCCAACTGTACTGAATCAAGGCCAGTAATTTTGGCATGAGACTACTCTAAAAGTAATTATTTTACAAACAATGTTCAGATTGCCCCAGAAACACTAAGGTGTAAGACCATAATCTCAAACATTTAAAGCAAAAACATGAGCCTAGTCTTTTATCATTAGACAGGAGACAAACTACAGCAGGATTCACAAATTCCCAAATAGGAAAAATCACACTTGAGCTCATTATACATTAACCATTAAAAGGACCAGATCTACTGTCCTGCTATTAAAGAGGTATTGCTAGACTTTGGCTAAGTGAATGGGGGACTATTTTGCTTCCTACCCAATCCAATGCAGGAAAGTCACTGTACCTACCTTATAAAACTATCTCAAAGTTAACGCAACACTGTAGGTTCCACTAATTTTTAGATTTTAAAAACTCTGCCCCCAGATAGGTTGCTACATGGCATGTATATTTTGCCAGACACTAAGTAATTTTAAAGTACCTACCCCAAATGAACTGCAGCACTGCAGAGAACGGAATGTGTCCACACCACAAAGTAAAATGAGAAATTCCAATGCTTTTAAGTAAAAACTACGGATGTTAATGTTGGAAAGGGTAACTCAAAAAGTCATACTATGGAAATTACTTATTCTAATAAATCCCATAGTAAACTATAGAAACAGCCACTAGAGATGTAACAGGCATGCCTTCCTAAAAAGCTATCCATTCCTACATGCAAAAGGAAAAAAATTGATTACAAAACCAGCTGATTTTTTAAGTATTTTAGGATGAAATTGTAATCACTTTATTCTCAGATTTGTAGAAGAAAATGCACACAAAACTGTGTTTAAGAAATTCAATTTAGATACTGTATCTATTAACCAGTCTTATACCCACTATTGAGACTACAGAACTGTCGCCATATACTATCCCTCAAAATGGGACAAAAAAAGGGACAGATAGAGTGGCAAGTGTAGAGACACACACACACACAAAAATTTAGGTCTGGAGGTTTTTCATTTAAAAAGAAAGCCTTTATGTCTAGAACAGGATGGGGCTGCATGATTAGACAGTTAAGTCAAATGTTAGACCCCTTAAAAATGAGACTTACATTACTTTAATGTGTAATTTTAACGTCAACCTGGGTAAAATTCTTTCAGTAAATGACAACTGGTGACTATCTAAAATGTTTATTAACTATTAATATAAATATTTGTCCATTTTTCCTAATCATTCAAAAAAGTTGTAATGTATTACCTCATTTTAGGTAGCAGGGCAAGTGTAATTATTTTTAAACAGTGAAAACACTGATCTTCAAATCTAAGTTTATCATCATTTCAGATTACTGGAAACAATTACATACATGAGATTCAAAATATTTAATGGAGTAATATCAAATACAGTTATAGTTTAATCTTAATTTGCCATTATTAGCTAGCAGTGATAATTAAGTGCTCACCACTCACCAAATATGGGAATAACATTCATCTAAACTGTGACCCCAGTGTGGTTTTTTTTCCAGTCTGCTTTTTCTCCAACATAAAGCTGGACTGATTTCAGTGGGTAAGAATACAGTAATAAGCAAATCTTTAAATATTACCCTAAGTGGACTCTTAGAATGTGGCTTGTAAAGATGTAAGACAACTGTCTGCAAGTTAGTGGCCATCTAATCTCTAGTGGTGGTGTTTAAACCCCCGAAAATTCAAATATAATCCTAAAGGCAGAAAGACTGACATTTAGGGAAGGGGAAAGGGTGGATAAAAAGAACAATGCTCAACCTACCAGCCTCCAAAGAGAAGTCATGCAATTGTGAATACATGTCAACCAACTGTAATTAATATTCCAGCCAAATCACACTGAAAATAAAAAATCTGGTAAGAGCTGTAGTGGAAAGCCACGTTAGCCCACCTTTGAATGGTATATACACACATATATATACACACATACACACACACACAATTTTTATTAAAGGTCTATTTACAAATATGGTAGGTAATAAAAGACAAGCATTTTTGCATAATACACAGTGCTGCTTAAAGAACTGCTTCAGACATCTCCAGAATATTTCAGTATAACATGCATGACACTTTAAACACATTTTATATCAAGTAGTCTTCACATTTAGCATTAATCTTAGAATTCCAACAAAAATATTTTTCATCTTAAATCAAATGTGGAGATTACAGTAATATTTTTTCTTGCTCAGATATAAAAATATCGTTACTAATCATGTTTAGCTTAAATTGCCAAACTGCAACTACATGCATTACCACAGACCAAATACCATGTAGCGGCATCAATTTTGCCCAAAGATTACATATGATGCCTAAAAAGGTATATATCCCAGGTACAAGCCTACTGTACTATCGTCTAGAATTTCCTGGGGATCAATGGGCAACTAACCAACACATAACCTCTGCATGTTATGACTACTGAAACCTTTATAATACAGAAATAAAATTTAAAAGTTTTACCATTCTTCCCGCTGTGCCGTCGCTGCTTCAGTGTGTCGTGGGGAGGAGTTTGAATGGCTAGGGAATTAACAACCGGTACAGCAACCAATCAAAATTCTAGTTTTAGTTTTTGACACTGTTAGGGTTAAAAACTTTAATGCATTTACACTTCAGTTCAACAGTAGGTAAACTATAAAGTCAGCTGCTTTGTGATTTATCAGGGCTAACAGCCTGCCCCAAACAGCAAGTTATACATTTAATCATTTTGGTGCCTCTGTCCAAAGAACAGAATTCAGCAAACGAAAACCAAAATGTTAAACGCTTTAAATTTACAAGTATCTAACATCTTCCTTTCTCAAATAAGCTATAAACAATTCGAGTTAGTTCTATTTAATTTTAAAAGTTTGTTTCCCTTCCCACCACCACTTCCCCAAAACCAGCACTAACATCAGCCTGACAAGAATCTGCCTAGGCTGGGTTTACTAAGTCTTATATTCCAAAGTGCTTCTCCCCTCCCCACTCTCCCTCCAAATCTTGGGCTCTTTCTCCGTAAAGGAAATCGTGTTTTCTAATACTGGGTTAAAGCAACATCTTACTGTTATATCCACCAACACCCTTCTCCTTACAGTTTAAAAAAAAAAATTCACACACACACACCCCTCCCCATTACAAAAAGGAATGGAAGCATGAACCCACGATCATCAGTCAGTAATCGGAGCTAAGAAAACCCAACCAAGAACCCCTATTTAGCCCCTCCTACTAACTCCCGTATTATGTTCCCAATCCCAAATGCAGCATTTTAATGCACTAAATGCAGATTTAGGTCGTATATACAACTGTTACTCCAATTAGAAGAACCAAGTTAATACTAAGAAATCTGCACCAAAAAGGAAAAAAAAAAAAGTATCTCACAACACAAAACAGGATTTGTTTCTCTTAAGAAAGAGGACTATAGGCCTCCCTTAGTGGGCGGGAAACAGCAATCAAGACACCAAAATAGGATTCTGGGCACCGAAAAAAAAAGGGGCTGTAAAAAATTCAGTTGCACATAAAAAGTGAAGTACAATCTGCACTAACAGTTCGAGAACCCAATAGCTGAGGGCGCGAAAGGGTGCGCGGTTAGAATAACTCAGTGGGGTGGGGGAAGGGTAGACACTAGGCCGGAGATAGGAACAGCTCCAGTCAAGTGCAGGCCCCATCGACTAGGAACTTAACGAGAGCCCGCGGAGCAAAACCAACGTACCAACAAGAAACTCGGAGCATTTCACCAGACCCAATTTGGTCTGCGTATCAAATTGTAGGGCCTATATGAGCATGCCATTGTGCGACAGCGTACGGTGGAGAAAATGAGGAAAGTCCTAAGGCGAAACTTACTCAAAATCCCAAGAAAACATTCGGCCTGAAGCCGACAAGGGAGAGGCAGAGGTAGACAGCCTACGCGTTCCCCAAAACATGTGCTTATAAACAATCGCATCGTCTCTGGATGGTGGAGAAGCACCAAATAAACCTTAGTAACAGAAGCAGGGAAGCTTTTTGTCTCTATCTGCGTTTTTATGCCCAAGACTTTAGAAAAAGGAAAAAAGAGGGGACAGCGCGAAAAGAAAAAGGTACCCCTCGACAGGCGGGAAAAAATCCTGGCGGCTAAGTCAGTGGGAGGAGACCCATCGCGAGGCAGGGAGGGCGGGCCAAGGAGCAGCATGGTGACGGCTAAAGGTGGAAACGTGTGTGATGGGGGAGGGGGCGATAAGCAGGCAGAGCAAGGAGGAAACGAAGGTCCGGGGAACCCAACATAGACAAGGGGAGACCACTGGAAGAAAGCTGCATGGGGGACCAGAGGATGGGCTGAGAGCGGGAACCAGGCCTAATGGCGGGGGAATAAGGAGGGGGAGGGGGACTAGTTGGGCCTGACTATCCTGGGCTGCCCCTTACTCACCCTTCATCTTCCTCGTTCTTACTGGCGTCGATCTTCGCCCCCTCCGACTCGGCGCTGCCCCCTTCGGTGCCTCCAGACGCGGTTCCGCCTCCGGTCCCGGCTCCGCTTCCCGCCGCCGCCGCTGCCCCCTGTGCCGCCGCCACCATGGCTCCCTCCTGCTCGCCCGCCGAGCCGCCTACCGCTGCCGTTGCCGCCGCCGCCGCCCCGTCCCCGCCGAACTGCTCCTCCGACATAGTGCTAGTGTCTCCGCCGCTGCCGCCGAGACTACACCCGCCGCTGCCGCGAACCGAAACTAGCAGCAAAGTAATCCCCGCCGCTGCCGCGCGCCCGCTCTACCTCGCGAAGCACACAAGACAGGGAAGGCGCGCGCGTGGCTGCAAAGGCTCCTGCGCCTCTCCCTGGCCTGCCCCCTTCGCCTCCCACTCTCGCGCGGCGCACACTCCCGCTCTCTCCCGCTGCACTGAAAAAGAATAAGCACCAGCGGCGGCCGCTCTTGCCTCCTCCTCGCTTTAATGGCGCCGCCGCGGACCACCTAAAATGGCCGACGGAAGAACGGCGCGTCCCGGTCACGTGACGCGAGAGCGCGCCCTTCGCGCCTCCCTCCCCCGCCCCCTTCCCCTAGGTTTTTTTCCCCTTCCTCCTCGGTCCGGCCCTCTCGCTCCCCTTTATACCTTCCTCTCACGCTCCGCGTAGCGCAGCATGGGGGCCTTTAAAAGCAACCGGAAGTGTCGTGCGCTAAGACGGTCGTGCGGGTACCATCGAGAACAAGGAGTGCTGTTCCGAAGTCGCGGCTAGAGGGGCTCCCTGCCTCCGCCTCGCCCCCGCCCTTCCGAGGATTCCTGGAGTCCACTCACCCCTCCCCACCACTCCAGTAGCGGTCGAGAGCAGCAGCGTCAGGCTGGGGTGTGGCTGCACGTCCCCGAAGGCGGCGGTGCCCCCTGCATCTGCGGCGTTTGGAGGGGGGATGGGAGGCTCACACCCTGCGGCAGCTTAAGCCTGGAGGTTCGCGCTCGAGGAGGGAATTAGCTCTGAGGTGTCAGCCGTGTGCCCCTGGCTCTGTCCATCCGGACGCCCGCGGAGCTCGCAGTCGGGCGCCGCAGCTGGCCGTGCGCGCAGTGATTGCCGCAGCTCTCTCCCTGCCGTCGCCGCCCGGGACCAGGGTGACATTGAGGTTTTCGCCTTTCGTCGCTGCGCCGATAGCGCTTCTTTTTAAGATTTGGCTTTCCAAGTAAGATTTTTGTTTGCCTGCTTTTCTCCTGAATTTTTTTTTTTTTTTTTGGTCGAAAGAAGCAGGTAATTTGCATATCTTAAGGAAAACATTGTTTTTGCTTTGCTTTTATTGTTTAAAGATTCTAAAATGTACCGTGATTCGCTTACTAATAGTTGGAATGTGCGTTAAATCAAGTGTTCGCTGAATGTTCCCCAGTCCTTGCACGTGGAACATATAAATGCCTTGAGTCATCTTGACGAGGTTTATGAGTTTGGGGTTTTGTTGGTTTTGCTTTGTTTTGTTTTTTTTGGTGACACCGTTAGGCGTTTCATTCAGGGTAACAGAAAAGTTACTTTTTATACACCTGTTAAGTATTCCCTATGCCTTGGCTGGAAACTGGATTATTCGGACTTTGGGATTTACTGCTTCCAGCAGTATCTTTAGAAGAAAATGAAGCTTCTAGGTACCTCTGTAGTCAACAAATAATTATTTGCCTGTTGACTAAGTGTTCGGGCACGGGGAAAACAAAGACGAGTTTGCAGAATCTAGCAAAAACCTTAAGAGTTTAAGTATTTGTTTTCCACTGTAGTTAAACGAATTTGTATTAATTGAACACTATCCAAAAATCTCAAAGGAAGATTATAAATGTTTTATTAATCAAGTTAGTGGAATTTACATTACAGAATAATTAAGAATACAGGGCAAATTCTGAAAACGTCCTAAAAATATAATCTTACCAAACTCCTGTTACAGGCAAGTGACATAAAGGTGATACCAAGAATGTTTATCTTAAAGTGGTAGTGATTCCACGTTTGTCTCCTGCCAGAATATTAGCAAAGGAAAAGTGGGTATGGTGCTCAAACCATGTATTCCTGGTTAGAAACAACTAGAATGATTGACTGAAGGGAAGTCTATCTTAATCTTTTCTGGTTTCAAGAGAGGGTAATTATCATTTATTTTTATCTTAAGATATCATTAGACATGCCCACCTTTTGGTAATAGTGACTTTTCCAAAAAGTTCATTTTGATTCTCATGTAGCTCAGAAGCTCCTGGAATTCTTAGAATTTATGTCAACAATTCCTGACAACCTGACTGATTTTTTTTTTTTTTACTTTTTTTTATATAAACATGCTAATCTTCTCTGTATTGTTCCCATTTTAGTATATGTGCTGCCGAAGCGAGCACAAGACTGATTTTAAAGCTAGCATCTTTACAATATGAGTATGTGTGATGTCCATATGACGCATAGCCCTTCATATTATGGTCAAGATCTCTGCATCCAGAATGCGCTCCTGTATCCACGAAATATTACTCTTAGAGCTTATAACTTCAGGCAGGCGCGGTGACTCACACCTGTAATCTCAGCACTTTGAGAGGCCAAGGGGGGAGGATTGCTTGCCTCAAGGAGTTGGAGATCAACCTGGTCAACACAGTGAGAAGTTGCCTCTACAAAAAATCAAAAAATTAGCCTGGTGTGGTGGTGGTTCCTGTTGTTCCAGGTACTCCTGAGGCTGAAGTGGGAGGATCACTTAAGGCTGGGAGGTGGAGACTGCAGTGAGAAAGGCGGAGTGAGACCCTGTATCAGAAACATACAAACGTTACTATTTATGTGAAGTCTTCTCAGGCTTCCTGAGGCAGAATTACCCCTTTTCACAGTCCTTTATCTTTTCCTCTGTTATTCATAGTTTACTAAACCATGAGTTCCTGGAAAATAAACAATATCTTCTAGGTATCCCTCCCTAACACACACACGTATACACAGTATGTATCTACACTATAGAATTGCCAGTTGAATCACAGAATGACAAAATAGTGTCTCCAACGTGCTAGGTTAAGGGGCTTTCAAGCAAACTAGGTATTCTTCCAGGGACTTTAAAGTCTACTCTCCACACCATCTCATTTCATCTCTGGCATTTAAAACAAAAACAAAACTTTTGGCCAGGTTCTATGGCTCATGCCTATAATCCCAACACTGGGAGACCAAGGAAGAAGGATTGCTCGGTTGAGCTCAGGAATTTGAGACCAGCCTGGGCAACATAGCAAAACCCTGTCTCTACAAAAAATTTAAAAGATTACTTCAGGCCCACCCAGGGATGCCTTCAGTTGTGTTTAACCTATTTCTTTTGCCAGGTGCGGTGGCCCATGCTTGTAATCTCAACACTTTGAGAGGCCGAGGTGGGTGGATCACTTCAGGCTGGGAGTTTGAGACCAGCCTGGGCAACATGGCGAAACCCCATCTCTACTAAAAATACAAAAATTAGCTGGATGTGATGCCGCACCCCTGTAATCCTGGCTACTCGGGAGGCTGAGGCAGGAAAATTGCATGAACCCAGGAGGCAGAGGTTGCAGTGAACCAAGATTGCACCACTGTACTCCAGCCGAGCGACAGAGTGAGACTTTGTCTCAAAACAACACCAACAACAAAAAATTAGCCAGGCGTGGTAGCGTGAGCCTCTGGTCCCAGCTACCCAGGAGGCTGAGGTGGCAAGACTGCTTGAGTCCAAAAGGTCAAGGCTGAAGTGAGCAGTGATTATGCCACTGACTGCCCGCCAGCCTGGACAACAGAGCAAGAGTTTGTCTCAAAAACAGAAAAACAAAAAACTACTTCTTCAAATGACCTGCTGATTGATGTATGAAATTTCTTGAGGATGAAACAGAACTTTCTGTTACACATTCGTAGGTAATGATTAGGTGGCTGGAGATGCTGTATTGGACTTGCTCCCAAACACTAGAAGGAAGCAATATCCCCTGTCCATGTATAGGACATGAACTATGCCATTGCTTTAGGAGATTCCCAGTGTGTTTCAGGTAACACGCTAAAATGCTGGATTGTCATTGAATTTAGCCTTTAAAAGCAATAATTCTCTGCAGCAAAAACGAGAGCACTTGTAAAAGGCCAAAAATGAAGCCTATTTGAGAGTTAAAATGGAATCACTTTTACCTAGAGCAAGATGCATATGCCTAAGCCAAGAAAGTCACAGTGTTAATCTGCTGGATGCATTCTACAAATGCAGAAGGAGGTTCCCTGTGTTCAAATTTTTGAAGAATTAATAGGGTATGTATGCCAGTTGGCAACCTAGAATAAACAGTGTGGAAGAAACAGCCAGAAGAACTCTTTTTTGTCTTGCTCTGTCATCCAGGCTGGAGTGCAAAGGCAGGATTTCAGCTCACTGCAACCTCCACCTCCTGGGTTCAAGTGATTCTCCTGCCTCAACCTCCTGAGTAGCTGGAACAACAGGCGCATGCCAGCACACCCAGCTAATTTTTGTATTTTTAGTAGAGACGGGGTTTCACCATACTAGCCAGGCTGGTCTCAAACTCCTGCCTTTGTGATCTGCGTGCCTCAGCCTCCCAAAGTGCTGGGATTACGGGTATGAGCCACCATGCCCGGCCAAGAACCCGTTTTTTTATGCAAGGTATACAGGTGACCTGCTTCTACAACCGTGTTAAGCATCCTATAACCTATCTGGACCTATTTGCAGAACACCATCAGTAGGAATTAAGCATTTTGTTAGTAAGTTAGCTTGTGATTTTATGTGAAGTGACCAATTGCCCATGCAGTGAACATTTTCTGTCATTTCTCTTGGTTATAAGGAAGCTTCGCTTTACTCAAAAAATAAAAGCCCTATCAACTCTGAAAAGTCAGATTTTACTTCAGCAACAAAGTCTAATACTGTAGAGTCAGTTCTGCTTACTCATGAGGTTGTCAATAGTCTGCTTTTAGATACAGTTTTTTAAAACCTAGCCCAAAAAAGAATTCAGACAAAGCTGATCACATGCCTGTAGTCCCAGCTACTTAGAAGGCTGAGGGAGGAGATTCCTTTGATCTCAGTAGTTCAAGCTCAGCCTGGGAAATATAGTGAAACCCCACCACCACCACCACCTCTTTAAAAAGGAAAAAGAAATAATAAGGAAACATAACTCCTCTCATTCCAGACCTACATATCCAGCTGCCGGTTTGACATCCCCACTTGAATGTTCACAGGCATCTCAAGCATAAAATGTCCAAAACTAAACTCTACCTTTCTTACAAATCTGCTTTGATTTTCCTCTTCTCAGCAAATGACACTTCCACCCACCCATTTGTTCCTGCCAAAAACCAGGGAATCATCTTTGATATCACCCCTCCCTCACCCTCTGTTAGAGAGAGAGTACTTGTTCCTAGGTACCACAAGGATAAATTGGCATTCAGACAAAGTTTTCTCAGCAAGGCAATTTTACTTTCTGTAGAAAGGATACTGATTATCAGCCATCTTGCCACAAGAGTACAATGAACAAAGGAAAGGCAGGCATATTTATTCCTTATGCTTTGGGTCCTTACTGCTGTGTCCAGTCTTTGTTGGTTGGAGCCAGACCTCACAGTATAAACTGAACCCGATTTGCTAACAACTTAAAACTTTTCTAAATAGGTAAAAGCAATGGAGAACAAAAGGAAAAGAGGAAGGCAGAGGAAGTTGCTTTTGAAAGGACTTAGAAAAGTAATAACATAAATATCTTGGTTAAAGTACAATGACACAGAATGTATTATGTACCTAAATCTCTTGCTTAAAGTATAAGGACATAGAGTGTACTTACTCCCTTATGTCTAACAGCTGTATAGAATAGGGCCTAACAAAGTTATTAGCAAAAATGAAGAAGGCTTTGAAGAAAGTTAGTCTTTAAAAGACTAAAGTTAGTCTGACATGTATTATTAGTATTCTTTAACAAGAAGGGAAACTTTGAAGAGGAACTTTTTACTTTCTACAGTTTCCTCCTCTTGACTTTATAGTTTTTCCTCTTCAGACATTTTTTTTTTTTTTTAAGATGGGGTTTCACCATGTTGGCCAGGCTGGTCTTGAACTCCTGACCTCAGGTGATCCACCTGC